TTAACGATTTTCAAAAAAAAAACGATTTTCAAAAAACCGATTTTCAAAACAAATTTTTTTTCGATCCGTTTTTTTTTTAACCAAATATATCAGAAAAATATCTATTTGTTTTCCTAAACATTACTTTAATTATCCAATCAAAAGTCAACATTATATATCTGATATGTATTAAACATATTTTTTTAAAACATATTTTTACTTTTACGTTTCCAATTTTCTTTTTTTTTTCACACACTAATTTTTTACACTAAAAAATTTCACCTTTTTTTTATACACTTAAAAAATTTACACACTTTTTTCGTATTACAAAAATTTCTTTTTTTTCGCAAAACATTTAAAAAATATTTTTTTTTTTTTCGCAACATAAAATTTTTTTACACGCAACAAAAAATTTTTTTTTTCTTCACAACATTTTTTTCGCAATTTTTTTTTTCTCATATCCAAAAACATCCAAAACATCCAAAACATTCCAAAAAAATCAAAAATCATGACGAAACAAAGAAACGTATTAAATAATTCTTTAACATTATTAACAACATTAACAAATTCCATTACACCTTCAACGATATCACCGATCCTATCATCAATTTCATCATCCTTATCACCAATTTCTTCAATAAATAATAATAATAATAATAATAATAATACTATGATTTCATCATCAACATCATTATCTTCTTCTTCTTCTTCTTCTTCTATTTTTTCTTCAAAATTACCAAAAGAACCTCCACCAAATAAACAAACAAAAAAACATCATCGTAAACTTTCATTATTATATAAACAAGTTGAACATTTAGAATTAAAATTATTATTTAAAAGAGCTTTTATTGAAAGAGAATTATTATGTAAATTAGAATTGGCTAAAAAAATTAAGGATGAAGCAAGTGAATTAGAATTAAATACTTTAATTCAATTAAATAAGATTAGATCAAAAATTATCTTATTACAAAAAAATAATAATGAATTGATCGATAATAATAATAATAATAACGAAGTTAATAATAAAAAAGTTCAACAACAACATCAACAACAACAACAAAAACAACAAAAACAACAAAAAAGTCCCAATAATATTAAAAGTAATAAAAAAAATAATAACAATAATAACATTAATAATAATAATAATAATTTTTCAACAAAAAGTAACAAGATTATTAAAAAGAATTCTTCTTGTCCTTATAAGTTAAATAAAAATAATAATTCTCTTTCTTCTTCAAAAAAAAGTAATAATTTCGATAATCAATTTGATGATGAAAAAAAATTTTCGGCTTTATCATCTGAAGAAAGATTATCAAATTCATCTGATATCCAGGTTGATATTTGTTTTGATAATCTATCATTAGATGAATTAATCATTTTATTAGATCAAAAAGAAAAAGAAATGAATTTTACTATTCAATCATCTCAAAATCAAATTGAAGATTTATTAAAAGATGCTTATGATTATTTAGAAGAAGAAGAATATTTAAAATTAGATATACAAGATATTAAATTAGAAATTGATGATTTGGAAACAATGTGTATTTAAAAAACATTTTATTTACATTTTATTACTACTATAAAAGGTTATATTCTAGAAATTATAATATATATATACAAATGAATTGGTTATTTTTCTGGCAAAATCTCTCTAAAAATCTCTAACAAAAAAAAGGAATCAAAAAAAAGGAATCAAGCTAATTATTAATTTGGTGCATATAAAATTGTTAAAATGCTTAAGATTTCTACTTTTTTAAGATAAATTATGATATTAAAAATATAAGTTTCATTTAAGATAAATAAAGTATTAAAATTCAAAAAAGTCCGCCAAAATTAAAAATTATAAAATCAATTTATAAAGTCTATCCAATTTATTTATTTATTAAGTCTACTAAAGATTTCTATATAAAAGTGTATAAATAACCTATAATAAATCGATAAATCAATACTAATACTAATACTAAAAACAAATTCTATATATATATATCTATTAGTATTATTTAAAATAATTTGTACACTGTGTACATTCTTGCATAATTTTACACGAATTTGCACGATTTTTACACGAATTTCGCTCAGTAAAATCTATAATGATCTGATAATGGTACGTCAAAAAACTATTTATTAATTTAACAAAATTATAACTTAAATAATGTCATTAAATTATTTTATTTCATTGTGGTCTTGAAATCCATTTTCCTATTTTACTAGAAGTATACTTTACGCTTTTAGATAATCCAGCCGTTAGTATCCCTTTAAGACTTTGTGATAATGTGGGTCTAAATACAATTTCTTTCAGACCTAAAAAGAATTTAATTCAATTATTAAAATTAAAAACAAAAAAAAGTTATTATGGCCATTAATCAATATATTAAACTTACTAGTATTAATATATTCAATATAATTCCCCGAATTAACTATACTTTTACAAGCTTCTAAATCATCTAAATAAATAAAAATATATATTATTAAACGATTCCTTCATACTCTTCATATTCGTGATTTTAACGTCTTACCTATTGGCCATTGAATTCCTTTACTAGCCAATACCATCCTATGTTCTTCTTGTATTTTATGTTTTAATACTCTGGGTAATTTTTGTATCATCTGTGCCTTTGCTTTTGGACTATCATCTTGCTATTAATAAGAATAATTTTTAAACAAAATTTTAATAATAAAAAAATAAAAAATTATTTTATTTTATTAAAAAAATGTTTCACCTGTAACATTCCATTTGCAACAAAATTCACCGTAGGTAACCCTTGAATTAATCCTCCATATAATAAATTAAACTGTTTCATCTGTTTTGATACAACATTCTTTATTTTATTTGGATTTTCTCCAAAATATGTACGAAAATCACCTAAAAAAATCATTTCATTTTAATAAATCTTCCTTCCTTTAAAAAAAATTTGAACAAAAAATTTGAACAGAAAATTTACCTTTATATGATAAAGAAGAAATTGTAGTATAAAGAATTTCTTCAGTAAAATCTTTTGGTAATAAAAGTAAAGCAGTACGTAATGCACTCGCTAAGTTTACTTGTTGCGCTAATCTAACTCTTGGATCATCTTTTAATATCTTAACAGGTTTATGCATTCTACCCGCTAAATAAAGTGTTTCCCAATTTAATAAATCTTTACACATTTTATCTATTGATACAACACCATATTTTATCATCTAAAAAAATAAAAAGTGTGTTAGTATTTTTGAGAATGAATTCGAAAATGAAAAATGTTTAATACATACCATATCATCGATTTTAACATATGGATTATAATAAACACCAGCACCTAAATTCTCTTGTAACATAGTTACAGCACCACTACCTAAAGTACCAAGATAACTATAATGTTTTCTATTTTGATTAATATTTAATGAATGCCAATGTTGTGTATGTCCAACTGCAAATATAAAATCGATCATAGGTTTATTCTACAAAAAATTTCATAATGAATTAATTAATTGTTTTGTTTAATATTTATTTCCCTTTAATAAAAGATAAATTCGTTAAATTACCTCATCATAATTGTAACCTTTTTGTGGAAATACACCACTACCATATGCGATCGCGTATCGTATAGGAGCGTGAAAATTATTTAACAATTTTCTTAACCGTTCATTAAATTCATGATCTATAGGTAAATTTTGATTTTTACCAAATTTAGGATGTAACTTTAATGAATATTTAGCAGTTATCCTAATTTGTTTCGATGTACTTGCTCCATTTGATATAGATGACAGCGGTGGTGGCACTGGATTAGTAGCTGAAGAACTAGAAGAGGAAGGTGTATGTTCTGTCGTTGGTGTCGCGTCTAATTTTGATGTATTATATATATAACGTAATGAACGAAATAAATTCGTACTTCTTGTCTTACTAATTGCTCGAAATGTAGAAGTTGTCTTAACATTCATAGTGAACTATTACTATTATTGAAATTAAAACGACAAAGATAACTATTTATTCGAAAAATAAATTACTCAAAAGAGTATCATTCAGATGATCTGTGTTGTACATAATGATGGGAACTAATGGGAACTTGTATGGGAACTGAAAAAAAGTTGGGTTAGATTTATTAGATCGTCGGTAAACCTGCTGCAATCTGCAAAGAACGAATTATGATCTTACCCAATCGTAGTTGCTTGTTCATTTGATAGTTGCATTAATTGTTCAATCAGTTAAATCGTTCGAACTTTGTCCTGAAACAATAGTGCAAATTTTATTAACCTTTTTCAGTTATAAAAGTTATAAATGGTATTTAAAAGGTTTCATAAACGATATCATATAGATAAAATATATTAATATATTGAATATATAGTGTATATTAAATTTATTTTATATATAATAATATTCTTTTTTTTTATTTTATTTTACAATTAATAAAAAGATGGAAAAAAAAAATTTGAATCTTAGGATTAATAAAATTCAAATTAATTCTTTTGAATAAATTGCGTACATTGAAATTTATACAAAATAAGGATATACAAAATTTATATAGATTATTAATGGATAGAATGTTCATGTTTAATTAATGAATGATAAATGAAATTATGACATTTAAATAAACGTTCGAAAATTAAAAAAAAAAAAAAATACAATTTGCATTTTTTTTTCATAATTTCTTTAACACGTTTTCTATAAAATTGGAATAAATTTGATTAGGAAAAAAAATACATGAAAAAAAAAATTTTGTTAAATTGAATCGCTCCTTCCTACTTACCATACATATAGGGGAAATGATCAATCATCATATGAGGAGAAAACCAAATTTCGCTAAAAACTTGTTGGACATCATCAATTTCCACCATATTGTATTGTTTACTACTTTTCTTTTCAAATAACTCCCCATCCGGTTCTTCATCTTCATCATCAGCATCACAATATGGTTTTCTATCACTACCAACAATCCAATAAACTTTTCCAGGAGGATACAATTTTTCATTTTGCATATATTTGTAAACATCTTGTCTTGTTTTCCAAAAATAATTTTCGAATTCTTCTTTCTCTTTTCTACCTTCTTCAGTCTTTTCATTAAATGTTCTACTTTGATAATCTAATATTTTCTTTAAAACTTTACTTGCTGTCTCTTGTCCTTCTTGATTTTTCTTATTAGATCCCAAAAATCTTACCATATCTCTCAAATCTTGAACATGACCCAATGATAATCTACAAACCACATCATTACCATAAGCTACAGAAGTTACAAGAGGGCGTACTATTTTTGATAATTCGGCGGACATCACGCATGGAGTAGCGAATGAGTATGCATGTACTCTACGACCACGCGGGAGACCTGACCATACTGTCGTTTGTCGAGTCTTTGGTGAAGCGAGTAATATTGCTAATAAACTTGCAACACCTAAAAAAAAAAAATAAAGTATTTAATTCCTAATTCTTATGGTTTACTTAAAAGTTTATTAAAGATTATTAACTTACCAGCACCAAGTGAATGACCAACTAATACTAAACCATAACCTTCATTGGCTTCTAATTCTCTTTTTATTACTTCGTAAACACCACTTTTACCAGGTTCAGCAAGACCTTTTGCAACTTGAAATATCCCTTTATGAACTTTATGTTTCGTTTCAATACCACGTTGTATATCTTCAGGAAATTGAAAATCTTCATATTCACAAGTAAGATCAACGATTAAATCATGTATACTCATGGTACCTCTTAGGGCCAATATAATACTTTCTGTAGTATGATCTCTTATTATGAAATAAGAAGGTTGATAATTACTCGGATTTTTTGGTGCTTTTGTATGTGAAGAATCTACTATACTATCAAATGGTAAATCGGTATTACTGGCAAATGCAAACCTATGTAATCTACCACGTTCTTTCCATATTGGGGATTTAACTGGAAATTGTGGAAAAGGGATTTTACCAATAATGGCAGTTTTAAAATCGTAAGCGCTACTACTAAATTTTGAATATCTTTTTAAATTATGAAGTAAAGAAAATAATTTTTCATCCTTTGTTTGATAATCAAATTCTTCTAAATAAGGGTTACTTAATCTTTTTGTAGCATCTAAATAAATATCACTTAAACGTTTTGATCTTTCATCTGATATATTAAACCTAAATTCTGGTATCTCTTCTTTTGGTGTTAATTCACCTATAACTATATTATTAGATTTATTAGATTTTATAATAACCATTTCTTCATCACCTTCTTCTTCTTCAAGTAACAAATATTCTAATTCATCATAAATATTTTCTTCTGCTTCATTTTTTGTTACGTAAACCCAATCATACATATCAGATATATCAACTAATTTAACCCTTTTCCAACCTGTGAAACCTCTTTCCATACGATTAGTTGTAACATATTGTAAACAAGCCCAAGCTGTTAATGATTTTATCACACGAAAAGCTCCAAAAGCACCAAGATTATCCTCTAAATTATCATCTTTTTCATAACTTATATTAAATTCCCTTTTTACTAATTGAACAAATTCAGCCAAAGCTTTTGCAGCATCAGTTGTACCAAAAAATGTATCAATGAGAGTCATTGATTCATTTGCGGTACCGAAAGCGAATTGTATTGTATCAGATGTAAATTCTAAACCAGCCAAAGCTATTTGTTCTGTTAAATTTAATGTACGATGTAATAAATTCGTTGATGTACCAATAATTCTAGGAATAAAAAAATATTTTTGACTTTATTAAAAGAAAAAAAAAAAAAAAAAAAAAAAA